CAGCACCCTTGGCCGTTTCTTGATCCAAAATCTCAATATCAGTCGTCAAATTCCGACCCTCAACATTATCTTTGTTGCATAAAAACTTATTGACTTTCAAGATCAAACTCGCAGAAGAAGACGTCTCCAGATTTAAATTTTCAGATACCACTTTTACCTTAGCATTCTCCTTAATTCCACCAGAAGGATGCTCGATCAAAGGTTTCTTGCCTTTACCTTCAGTATTCAAATCTTGACGAGACGGAGGTCGAAATCCCTCCCTTATCACAAGACCCTTATTCAACAATCGATCAGATCCCGTCGATCGACCAGAAGCCATGGAAACGACGGAAGAAGGCCGGAGAAACCTTCCTCCGATCGGCAATCCTCAAACCCGCCACCAGAATCGTGCCCGCCCTACGATTGCAATTTGGTATTGAGGCGTTTTTCGTTCATGAGGCGAGGCATAAGCCTCAAGGCTTTTTGAGATGTAAGCCTAAAAATTAGAAAATTGCATAAAGTCAAAATTAGGATTTTTTATATAATAATTTAATAATATATTAAAATTTAACATAAGAAATAAATTCTAAACCATTTATCAGTGGATTAGTCATAAAAATATATATATATATTGATTAAAATACACATGCTTTCCTTAAAATAATTTTCTTAGCTCAAGATATATTTAGATCTCTCTATTGACGAAGCACGTGAAGAGCAGCATACCTACTCGATGGATGAAACACATGAAAGGGAAGAAATGGCTGCAACAAGCGATCAATGAAACACGTGAAGGGGGGAAAATTGCCTTGACAAACAAATGCTCGTTGTTACTTCCGATCCAACAAGAAGCATATCGTCGAACGTTCCTAACTTTTGATCCAAAAGGGCACGTCGTCAATCTATCTTGACTTCCTATCGCACATGGAACGTCGTTGAAAAAGCTGAAGAAAGCTTTTAGCAAATTGTTTGAAACTCTATCTTACATGAGTGTGGTGGAGCCGAGGAAGTTGAACATCATGAATGAAATGAGGTATAGAACATCGCTCGACATTAGTTCTAGGTTTTAAATAATTATGCCTCACGGAAATAAGGTGAGGTGCGCCATGTAGATTTGAGGCGTAAGCCTTACGGAGTAGGGTCAAAACGTCCGCCTCGACGCACTATGTAGTGCACTTGCGCTGCGGAGCTCCTCAAGGTGCACCTCTAGTTGCACAATTTTAAACAATGAACCCATTAACTATCTAATGCCTAATATAGACCATAAATTACTATATAATGCCTAATATAGACCATAAATTATTGAGACCCATAACCTATCCTAAACTACCCATTGTATTTATTACTTAATATATAAAATGAAAGGTATATCATCTAAAAACTTAAGTTCAAAGTTTAAATGTAGCAACTAAAAGCATCATTCCTCGAAAAATAGATAGAAAACAAAATTTGAAAGCTTTAATAGCTACGAGAAGTACTAATGAAGAAGAAATAACAATATCTATTTTTCAATGTACATGATTTCTATTAAAAAATAATTATGTTTAAAAGTCTAATATAATGAAGAAATTTTGTACTTCAATAAGAAAATTTTGTACTATAAAGCTTTTTAACACATTCGTTACTAGGTCCTAAGTCCTGGATGAGAAAAGTGGATGGTTGCGTTAGATAGTCGACAACCAGCGTAAAACTTATCGAATAATCATGATATGAATCATTTAATACATTGTGTTAATACTAGGGCATTTTTTCTGAAAGCGATGCATTATATGACCTGAATACAGCGACAAGTGAGCAAGGGCTGCTGCACCGGTGCCCGAGTGCAATGTTAAGTAGGCAAGGTTCCCACATCCTGGACGGATATAGGTAAAGAAGCTACTCCATGAAACTAAAATTAGGATATGAACTTGAAATATAGGTTCCCTTACATGTAATTAATGAAATTAATATATATTTTGATATATAGGAAGATAAATATTCTTCGTATTTAGGAAACTAAATGGGTTGGAGAGAAGGCTAAAAAAATTGATATATTAGAATTTAAACTATAATATTCTGGTATGAGAAGGCTAAGAAGATTGATAGATTAGAATTTAAACTATGATATTCTAGTATAAGTCATATTAGAAATGATGTATATGTGATTATAGATAAGAGTTTGAAGGATAATGTTGTAAAAATTAATAGAATTTGAGATATAATTATAATTTTAAATATTCTTGTTGATGCTAAGATTATTAATATTACAAGCGATTATGCTTCTCAAGTAGGTTTGAATATATGTTTAAAATTAAAATTTTAGAATGACCTAAAAGAATTAATACAAATGATACCTCTCGAAGAAAGATTTTTTATTGGACGAGATTTAAATAGACATGCTGGTAGAGAGGCAGATGATTTTAAAAGCATTCATGGTAGCTATGGCTTTGGAGCGACTAATGAATATGGTAAGATCATATTAGGTTTTTATTTAACTTATCATTTAGTAATTGCTAGTACTTTATTTAAGAAAAAAGATGTGCATCTCATCACTTATATGAATGGATATAGTAAACTCAGATTGATTATTTTCTTATAAGAAAAATAGATCTTTTAGATTGCAAAGATTATAAAGTTATTCAGAGTGAAAGTTTATGTACTCAACATCGCTTATTAGTTTTGAACTTTAAGATGACGTGACAGAAAATTAAAAATAAAATAAATTGTTGTTCTAGGATTAGATTGGGGCTATTAGCAAAAATATTTTTAAGAGTAAAATTCTAAATATTAAGATTTTATCTAATGCATGAGAAAGCTAATGTTATGTGGAAAAAAATAGCTAGTGATATTAGGAATATTGCAAAAGATGTTATTGGAGCATCAAATGGAAAAGCTAGTAATAGTAAAAATAGTTGGTGGTGGAATCAAAATATACAAAAAAAGATAAAAAATAAAAAGATTTGTTATAAAAATTGGTTTAGCTTTAAAAACTCTGATAATTGGAAAAAATATAAAGAGGTTTGTAAAGAGTCTAAGAAAGCAATTTGCAATACAAAGATTTTAGCTTTTAATGATTTATATAATAAATTAGATACTAAGGAGGGCGAAATATATATATATATATATATATATAATCTAAACAAAGAGATAGGAGTAATAATGATTTAGTTACAGTGAAATGTATTAAGAATGAAGATAAAAAGTGCCTTTATTAGAAAAGGATATTCAATAAAGTTGGATGAGATATTTTGCTAAACTTTTTAATGAAGATTATGAGAATGCAAATGACTTTAGTAACCTTAGGACCTTAAATGAAAATAAAAAATTTGTTTTTATCGGCATCTAAGTAAAATCAAACTTAAAGAGGTTTTAAAGAAAATGAAGTGTGAAAAAGTTGTTGAACCTGATGATATTCAAATAGAGGTGTGGAAACGCTTAGGAGATTATGAAATTTCTTTGGCTTACTAAACTTCTTAATATAATTTTGAAGATTAAAAAGATGCAAGATGAGTGGAGAATGAGCATGTTGATTCATATTTTTAAGAATAAAGGTGATGCACAAGATTGTGCGAATTATAGAAGAATTAAGTTAATATTTCATACCTTAAAACTACGGGGGAGAGTTATGAAGCATAGGTTGCGGCGTGACACTAATGTTTATCAAAATCAATTTAGATTCATGCCAGGTAGGTCTACTATGGAAGCTATATATTTATTGAGAGGTTTGATGGAGAAGTATAGAGAGAATAAGGAGGATCTACATATAATTTTTATTGATTTAGAGGAAGCATATGATAAAGTTCCCAGAGAAGTGCTATGGAGAGTTTTACATAAGAAAGGGGCTTATAATGCTTATATTCAAGTCATTAAGGATATGTATGCAAGAGCTGTTACTTGTGTTCAAACACAAAGTGGTTTGACCAAGTATTTTCCTATTTAAGTTGGTTCAGCCTCAAGCTCGTATCTTTTTTGCTTTAGTCATGGATGTTCTCACTAGACATTTACAAGAGGTTGTACCCCGGTGTATGTTTTTTGTTGATGATATTCTTCTTGTTGATAAGACTAGAGAGGGAGTTGAAGGTAAACTTCAATTATGGAGGTCAACATTAGAGTCTAAAGACTTTCATTTGAGTAGATCTAAAATTGAATATATGAATTGTAATTTTAGTAATTATAGATCAAGTGGAGGGATTATGACTTTAGTTGATCAAGTCATTAATAAGAGCACACATTTTAAATATCTTGGGTCTATTGTTCAGAGTGATGGTGAAATAGACGAGGATATTATAGTAGAATTCAAGTTGAATGGTTGAAGTGGAGGAATGCATCAGGCTTGTTATGTGATAGAAAAGTCCCTCTCAAACTTAAGTGAAAATTTTATAAGATGTTTGTGAGACCTGCAATGCTTTATGGTGCAGAATGCTGGACATTAAAAGAGAAGCATAATATTAAGTTAAGTGTTGCAGAGATGAGGATGCTCAGGTGGATGAGTGGCTTTACTCTTAAAGATGGGATACGAAATGAGCATATAAGCGAAAATGTTGGAGTAACTCCAATGGAAGATAAGATTAGAAAGACTCACCTTAGATGGTTTGATCACATAAAATGGCAGCCTTCCGATGACCCGGTTAGGAAAGTAGATGTAGTAGATTTGACTTATGTTAAGAAAGAGGTAGAACTAAAAAGACTTGGTTAAAAAATATTAGAAATGACCTTTTTTTATTAGATTTAGATGGAAATTTGATCTTTAATATGACATAATGAAGAAAAAAGATTCATGTAGCCGACCCCATATAGTGGGATAAAGGCTTCTTGTTGTTGTTGTTGTTGTTGTAAAATGGTAAGAAAGCTGCCCCAAACAAAACTCAGTCTCATTGCTGCTGTTTGACATTCCTGTATAGTGGTCGTAATATTAATAAAGGCGGAATTTACTAGTTAAAAAAGCGCTATGGTCTCAATCCTGAAAAACTCATTCTACGCACACTATACAAATTCTACTTGTATAGCTCTTCAATGAACCAAACTTTTAAGACTTACCTCAGGTACAAAGGCAGCTGAAGCTGAGGATAGATGCCCAGGGAAAGTATCTGAAGAAAATCATTGAGGAGCAGCAACGCCTAACTGGAGTCCTTGCTGAGACACCAAGAATAAACTCCCCAACACCTTTATCCTCCACTGATTTCTATCCAAACTCAGAGAAAACTGACCCTTCAACCCCTGCAGCAATCTGTGATTCTCTACATAGGGATGCTTGCAATCTCTTCAAGGGTATCCCATCTGTAGATTCTGAGAGCTTCAGACATGACCGGTTATTCAGGAGGCAATGCTGCAATGGTGGAGACATTGGCGGCATCGTCGAGGTGAACTTGAAGCTCGGCCACCATGTATTTGAACCAAGCTCACCTCCGGAATTCCAGCAACAATGCTTCTCCATGTTCCCTCATAATAGAGGTCACTTTGAGTCATCAGGGACATCTATCGACGACGACAATGAATGACTGTTTGGGACTGCTTCTAGAAGTGATTTCTGATTGCCTGATCGTTCTACCCAAGAGATGATAATTTTATATGGGCTTGGGAAAGGTTTACTAAAGCTTGTAGTTTATATTCTATATTCTTCATGCGCATTTAATGATTAAGTGGCTTAAGATAGAAATGGCAGTTCATGAATGTACAGATGGGGAAAGGAAATTCATTTAGAAGAGGCTAAAGAAGAGTAATCATGTGTAATATTATGGTAATTTACTGATTTGAACAACTGATTGGTGTAAATTACACTAAAAATTTCACTGGAAGGAATTCTGTTTCTGATTACTCTAATGGTTTATGTAATGACCCCTGCTTTCCTTATAACATTTTATTTTATGAATAGTTAAACACGGAGGAAATGGAAGCTTATGCTTATTTTCTTCTCCTTATGATTGCTTTTACTAAATTTATTGTCTCAATAGACTAATTATTTATCAAATTCATTATAGCTTTTGTATGATTTTTCAATAGAGTATTAGGCTTGGCTTGGGATAGTTTTCTTATTGTTTATTAAAAAAACATTATAATGCAACAACAACAACAACAACAAGCCTTTTTCCCACCATGTGGGATCGGCTACATAAATCATTTTTTCTTCATTGTGTCCTATTAAAAGTGAAATTCTCATCTAAATCTAATAAAGAAATGTCATTTCAAATATTTTTTAACCAAGTCTTTTTAGGCCTACCTCTATCTTTTTTAACATAAGTAAAATCTAATACATATACTTTCCTAACCGGTTCATCGAAAGACTGTCGTTTTATGCGACCAAATCATCGAAGGAGACTCTCTAATCTTATCTTTCATTGGAGCTATTCCAACATTTTCACCTATATGCTCATTTTGTATCCTATCTCTAAGAGTAAAGCCACTCACCCACCTAAGCATCCTCATCTATACAATACTTAACTTAATATCATGCTTCCCTTTTAATGGCCAACATTTTGCACTATAAAACATTACAGTTCTCACTACCATCTTATAGAATTTTCCCTTAAGTTTGAGAGGGGTTTTTGTATCACACAACAAGCCCGATGCATTCCTCTGCTTCATCCATCCAACTTGAATTTTACTAATAATATCCTCATCTATTTCACCATCACTCTCAACAATAAACTTAAGATATCTAAAACGTGTACTCTCATTAATGACTTGATTACCCAAAGTCACAATCCCCTCATTAGATCTATTAATACTAAAATTACATCCCATATATTCAGCTTTATATTTGTCTAAATATTTTTTTCTTATTTTCTTGAGGGGTTTATTTGGTTTTCCTCATAATTATGTGATTATAGTTAGAAATCAATATTGACTTTGAACAGTTCAAAAACCTTCAAAAAAAAAAAAAAAAAAAAAAAAAAAAAAAAAAAAAAAAAAAAATCACAGGCTACAGCAAATCGAATTGCTATGTAGCATAATTAACTTGAGATAAATTAGGTTGACCCATGTCACAACTTTGATTATAGAGCGTTTTATTATCCTATCATTATATGAAAATTTTTTACATATATTAATAAAATAAGTTTCGATCAACTTATAAGAAATGAGATTTTTTGCATGAAAATTTTAAAAAGAAAAAAATTATAAAGTCTAACTCTATGTGTTATAAAAAAATACCCTCTCGTGTTAATAGAAAAGTTGTTTGTGGTGATGATGAGCATTGATGTTATTGTCGACGACAGGCTTCTGCCTTATTGGCAAGATGTCCTATTCCCTCAATTCGCTAAAATGTGTAAAAAGACTCAAACATGAGTGAGTGAATCGATTCATTGCAGCGAGCCTACTACCGGGGAGGATAAAGAGCTAGAACTCGGTAGCGAGCCTGGTATTCGTAGATCGGACTTTTCCGGGTCAAAGAGTATTAATCTTGGGTCATTAACATTGGTGAAGCAATAAGTGTTGGCTTATTGGTGTCATTAAGTATCGACATTGGTGTCGGGAACCATTGTAGACATTTGGTGACGAGGACTTTAGTGTTGGCATTGGTATCGGGTAAGTTGGCCTTATTGGTGATGGTGCGTGTAGACGGCGAACATTGACCTCCTCATATTGGTGATGTGAGTCTGGCAGCTAAAGCTCTAGATTCTCTCATTTGTAATTCTTCTTGTGGATATCTCAACCTCCTCAAATAATTTTTAAGCATTTGACTATCTTAACGTTAATAGAATTGAACGATTTTTGGCTAGTTAGATTTTTCATGTCAAGATACACGTTTTGATTAAAGGATTATTGAAATCGAAGTTTAAGTAATCTCGGATTTGATCAATAAAATTTCTAATTCAAGTACTTGTGCCCATGGTTTTGAAAGTCGGACTGGACCAGTCGGTTCGACCGGTTCAATTATGAATCGGTCTTATGGTCGGTTCCATCTTTATGAAAAATCGGTCCAACAGTAACCAGCGAGGATCGATCCTGGTTTTTTAAAGCAGAGCGCTTCAATTCATGATATATTTAAATAATTTCATTTAATATAACATATTTTATTGAATATTAAATTAATTTATATATAACACATTTTATTTAATAATATCCAAAAAATTTAAATTATTATGTATTATACTCACATGGTTCCACCACTCCATGTGGGCTCTTAAATCATGAATACAAGAAGAGCTATATAAGCAACACAATACAAATCTTAAGTGATGTAAGACTAAACAACTAGTAAAATTTCTACAATGTGTGCATGGTGGATTGCTTCAATGAGAATTTTTTTGAAAAAAAAAAAAATGTATAAAATATTCAAATAAAAAATGATTATAATAATTTTTAAATTTCTTAAATTTATAATTATTTTTGTATTATAGTTATGTATATAGTAAATAATTCTTAAATGGAATGAAGATATTTACATTTAAATTTAAAATTAGTAATTCTTTGTATTTAATATATAACATAAATTAATAATTATTAATATTTAACTTTAAGATACTGGAATATATTATTTATGTATGAATTTTTTTTTTAGTCCCAAAATTATATTATTTCATAATTTTTTGCAAAGATATCTTATTGTTACGTCATCCAATTCGACCCTGGTTGAACCAATGAACCTTGAACATCTCTTTTCCGGTTCTACCTTTGGTCCTATTTTTACAACTTTGCTTATGCCAACTTTCATGCTTGATTGGATCATGTTTTTGGTGGCATATCAACAATATTTAATTCAGTCTTAATTCAAAGGAAATTAAATTTTGAATTATTTAATTAATCATGGCTAAGAAAAATTACCATCTATGAATAATTTGATAAATTTACTCTAGTTTCAGCAGTTCTATAATGAAAAAGAAATAGATATAAATGTTAGAAGAATATTCTTTTTTAAATCTACTTTAGCCTATAGTTTTTACTTTTACTTATTTATCTACATTATATTACAATCAAAGTTTTTATTGTCTTCTTCGAATAAAAAAAAATTCATAACAAGAGAAAATCCAAGATTTTATTGTGAAATTATATTCTTTAACTTTTCTTATTTAACTAGAATTGCCAACATAAAAATACAAAGCATCATTATTTTTCTTTTTTATTTCAATTATATATTGAATTTTATCATTTAAGTATAAGGGGATGTTTGCTAGTATATAAAGCACCATGGTGTGGCATTGGTTTTCTTTAGTAGCTCTTTTTGGTGGGCTTCAATTGGTGCCCATAATTGTAGACTTGTAGTCTTTCAGGACATAAAATTAAGTGGCACTAGGGGTTCAAATGAGTTGGCGCAAATTTTAGTCATAATTAACTCAAGCTCAGCTCATCTATCTAGGATTATGCTTGAGCTCGAGTTGAGTTCATATACTAAGCTCAAGCTTGACTCAACTTATTGACTGATGAATTGAGCTCAACTTATGATCTCGAGTTCTCTTTCACTTCATCAAACTCTCATAGACAATGAAGTAAAGAAATTGTGATAGGAGCTCCCCAAAGAAGGATCAATGGAAGGACTCATGGTGGGGCCGATAATGTTTGACGAAAAAATAAGTTCATGAGACTTGTTATGAATTAGCTCAGGATAAATTAACCTAACTGAGGAGACATGGAATTTCGAATTTTCCATCATATTTTAATCAAGTCAGCTTGTGAGTCAACATGCTAGAGCCCATCAACTTTAAGCTTGAGCTTATGTAATATACAAACTGTAATTTAAGCTCCATATCGCAGCTTGATAAGCTCGCCTCATAAGTTCATTAATAATTCAAGTTCAAGCCAACTTATGACTAAACTTGACTCAAGTATGCTGCTAAGTGGCACATGAGTGTCATTGGGTATCTATCCTATTAGTTCCATGTAAATAGGCACCTTCGCCATAATGACTTGTGCTTCTCTTTATGAGCTAAAAAATGTCATAAGCAAAGGGGAAGTTGTTTAGAAAATTTCCTTAATTTTTATTGCTTGAATTAAAAAGCCATATAATTATCTATTAAATACTAATTTATCAAAGAGAAACTAAACTCACAACTCACAAATCTCAACTCTCTTCTACTATTGATATATCCTCGAAAATTATCTTGACCGAGCATGAAGCTTGAGGCAAAAATCAAGCTGGAGACTTCAAAAATTAATTTTGGGATCATCTAAACTCCAATTTCAGCGAATTTACAATCAAACTGAGCGTCTCGGAAATACGAACCCAACGACACCAAATTCGACTCAATCCAAGCCCAAATGAGTCCAAATCAAGGACCCGAAGCGCTGTTGGAAGGTTCGAACCACAATTTGAGTTATCAAACGCTTTCCAAACATAATGTGCTTATAGTCAAATCAAGCGGCTCGACAAGACAAATCCAACAAGCCCAAGATTGCCAAATTCCGACATCATTAAGACCTTGAAATGTCTAATGAACGGTCCATGATCAAGGGATTCAATATCGGCCGTCCATTCAAATCACTCCCAATTTGCCCCTGATCTCTCACCTTTTTATAGGTCATGCCACTCCATAAATCTATAAATAGACCCCTCATTTCTCTTGGGGAGCTCCTATCAGACTTCCGTCGCCCGCTGACTACGGTCCTTCAGACTTACGTCGCCTGCCGACTACATACCTTCTAACCTCCGTCGCCTGCCAACTACAGTCCTTCTGACTTACGTCGCCCGTCGCCACAGAATATGGTCCTTCCGAATTACGTCGCACACCGACTACAGTCCTTCAGACCAAACAAACACATCAACAATGTTGCTTTGTATTTTCACCATATAATGTACTTTATAGGATGTACATCAAACTAAGACCTTCCCCTGAGGAAGGACCTCATTTGTAATCAACTACAATACTAGTGGATTCATTCATATTAGGTCAGGTCCCGTGGTTTTTCCACCTTTTTCAGGAATTTTTCACGTAAAATCTTGG